ATTATCTGTAAGTGCCAAACTAGAGTGATAAGATGGCAACACATTTTTACTAATGATCCTTGCTATATCTGATTCGGAAAGAGGAGTTTCCAACCGTTTACATAAGCTAACAATCTCGTTAATAAAGATAGTAACTTTCTTCTGTGGAGCTTGGTTACGTGACTCCATTGCTTCAAGATAATTCTCATAATTATAAAAAGAAACTATGACCTAAGTTTGGTTTGACAACTAACTCTTGCCATGAAGCAAAACTACCGGTTATTTGATACCAAGTAAAAGCTGAATCCCTAAATAAATCTGCAGCAGAATAGTAGCACTTTCCTCGTTGTTTCCACACGCTCTACGCAGATACGCTACCTTTTCCAAAAAACTAACGATATTCTCAGTTTATTTACCTAAAAAATATATACCTTATTTGTAAATAGGAGTGGATTTAACAAAAGAAAATTAATTTAGTAAAACATTGGATATATTGGAAGTAGAATGAGCCTGTGGAGTTACTTTGAACTCAAGTTCACCTTCAAAATTAATAATTTTGAAGTTAAAAGATTTTTTAACTGCATCTTCTTCCTCTGTTATGGATTCTAACAGATGGACTTTATCTGAGACATGACCTAAAAGTCAAGCGACCATAGAGAGCATCACTATGGGAGCCAACAAAAGAACTTATTTTGATCTTAAGATCTGCAATAGTTGCTTCTATTTCAATAATCTCATAGCTAAACTTAAGATGGGATGCTAACAGAACAGCATAACTCCGATTTGCTGAAGCTTATTTCAAAGCACCTCTCAACACTACCTTTTTCGCATCAATTATTGTTAAAGATGGGACGACTAAATGACGGACTTACAAGTCATAATCCAGTTCAGCAGCTAATAGATGATCTACCTTAAAAGTTGCCACATTACACGACTGGGAGATATAAAAACAATGAGATATGATAAAAATGTGTAAAGTTTAACTTACTCTCTGTTCTAGCGTTTAAATTCCGAATGTATAGTTTTATCAGTAATATTCGTTAGTCCAGTTGTTCAATAACCTGCAATGTACTGCTACAAATCCCGAGAAACCTAGAACTTCAAAAAATGTTATTTCGAGATAGTAAAGTAAGTCACCTTGTTACTACTCTGTATTATTTTATAATATGTAGAATTGCTGTAATAAGTAAATATACGAAGCTGTCTAAGGTACTGAATGTGGGCGCCACTCAAGACTAGCTTGAGAATTTAGAAATGAGGAAAAAATCAAGAAACAGGTACAATACAATAACCTGAAATTACTTTTTAAAAACCACTATTTATCTTGTATTGCTATAATATACTGGTTAGTAGAAACTGAAATAAAAAGCTAACTACTAATGACAAATATATTTATAAATTTTATTAAACAGTTTAATTAATTTACTTACATATAAGAGAAAAGCGAAATAACTTAACACTAAAGGTTAGTATTAGAATATAAAATAAACGTAGACTAGGTCAGGTATTAAAGGTAAGAAATGAATAACAATAATAATAAAATAAATAATAATAAATTAACAATAAATGAATAAAAATAAATAATAATAAATTATCTATAAATGAATACATTACATAGCAGACGGTGAAGTTACTATGGACAAAGGGGTGAAGTACTCACCGATAGGACTAATATGTACGAAACCGATACCGATACTGATTACGAAAAAACTCTTGTGCCTTAGTGGACCACCACTTGAAGACAGGACATAACTTTGACTTTAATAATGTAAAAATCTTGGAACAAGTTGATAATTATAAAAATCGACTTTTCCTTGAAATGATACACATTAATAAAACTCCTGAATCTATCAATTATAAGACAGACACCAACCATTTAAGTATTATCTACTGTAATATACTAAACAATATATGATATGATAGATCTTAATATCAGTATTACAATAACTGACTACGTATCATCAATTACATTTTATAGATTAATTTACCATGTTCCTGATTATTTCTCAATCCTCTACTTTTCTACCTTATAATATGGATAATACTGTCATAATAATTGTTTATTTTAACTTATTTACAAAAAATTGTATAATGGGAATTCACTCTATAAAATATTGCGGTTACCATAACTCCCAAATAAACTAAAATCAAAAATGTTATTTAAGTGGATAATGTTATTTAAATCTAAATTTTTAATCTTATAGTTGTATACTACCAAACGCTTATTTACATTTAAGTCATTGAAGATAACTATACCTCTCCGTCTAATTAATCTTCATTCCCATAATATTATGTGTCTGGCGTTGTTTGAAGCTATCACAGAGTTAACTAGAAAAGTGTTAGAATTATTGTTCTTTTGTAATGGACTGATACGACTACAAATAACTGTTATAAATCTGGCGCTGCAGGTAAGCAGTGGCCATGGCCGTAGAAATAAAGATTTATACGTCCATGGGCCCGCCTGTCTAGTTTTCTACGAAAATACTGGTACCTTGAATATTTTCCTATGAATAAATAAATATAAATAAATATATATTATATATATATATATATATATATATATATATATATATATATATATATATATATATATATATAAATAAATTTTAAATAAAAAAATCTGTGGTTTTATATTTTATATTTCGACTATATACAACTACAGTTAATTAATTAAATACAATATGTACAAGTCTCATTCATTAAAAGCATAACATGCAAACAATTGTGCATAACTAAACGTTCTAACTTTACGAGTTTAAGTACTATCCAAGAAAATAATCGAGCTTTAAAAAAATTACTCTAATAATTTTTGTGATGTATTGGATATCATGAGTGATCTTTTTGATATTGAGTGTCTTTTGAATAAAGCATACTTGTCTAATTCTTTGGTATTACCAAAAGGTTTAAAATAGAAGAACTTATCAAGAAAATATCTTACTTAAGACACCTTCCACGAAAGAATGAACAAGGAATACTGTGGAAATTTGAAACTAAACCCAAACACACAGAAACCATCCAGAAAAGTATAAATAAATCTCAAACTATACTAGGTATATATATATATATATATATATATATATATATATATATATATATACATATACATATATATATATATATATATATATATATATATATATATACATATATATATATATATATATATATATATGTATATATATATATATATATATATATATATATATATATATATAATCCGAAATTAGAAGACGCATTCAACTAGCAAGAGCAGCAATGAGTGAACTAAACGGGATCTGGCGTGATCGTCACATTACTTTGACAAACAAAAAGAGACTCGTTTCAACTCTGGTCTTTTCCATATTTTACTATGCATGCGAGACATGGACAGTCAAAGAATCAGATCGACGACGTATAGACGCCTTTGAAATGTGGACATGGAGACGCCTGCTTCGAATTCCATGGACGGCTCGCCGTACAAATATCTCGGTTCTGGATGAAATTAAACCGGATCAGCGTCTCTCTAGTACCGTTTACTCTAGGATTTTAAAGTTCTTTGGCCATATCCATCGAAGTGATCACAAAATGGAGCGGTTGGTGGTCCAAGGAAGGCCTCAGACTCAACGCCAACGCGGAAGATCTCCACAGCGATGGGCGGACATTACTAAAAAGCTTCTCAATAAACAGTATACTGAGGCAATACATATAACTGATGACCGCGACCAGTGGAGAAATATTATCAATCAAACTGTCCGAGCTGCTGAAGCCCAATTATGAACCACAACACATCTACTAAGATGTTAATGACTGTGATGATGATGATGATATATATATATATATATATATATATATATATATATATATATATATATATATATATATATATATATGTATATAAACATCATTATCACTGGCTTGACAACCCTTATTGGGTCTTAGCCTGATCCAGGATTCTTCTCCATTCTGATCTGTTTCGTACTTTTTTTCTCCAGTTTTTTATTTTTAAGGTTGTTATATAATTTGTTGTAAAAAGGGAAAACGAAGAGGGTGCAAGACAATGGATAAATCACGGAATATAATAATGAATGGGTCAAGAGAACATAGAGCAATATAAGCACAACGAATTAGATGGTATGGATACATAATGAGAAGAGATAAGAGCAATCCGTTAAGAATTATACCAGAATAGATACCACCAGGTAAAAGAACCAGAGGCAGACCTAAACTGAGATGGAGACCACAAGTGGAAGAAGACTTAAGGAATACGGAAATTAGAAATATAGAAAGGATAGACCAAGAAAAAGAAGAATGGAGAAAAGCAGTGAAAACAGCGAAGACACAACAGAAACTGTAAAACCACACCCAGAATGGGATGATCCCCCACACAAAAAGAATCTTCAAGTGAAAACAGCTTCAGCTTCTTCGTCAGCGTATAGCTTGTATATAATATACATATTTATATATTTTTGTTTTGTTGGGTTGTAGAAAGATTTAAAACAGAAACAATGAAAGGACAGCTACCACGATGTTTTTCCATTAGAAAAAAAATGTAGTACAATGTACCTACAATCAATTTGAAAGACAAAAGAGCATACTTTTTCAGATATGTCCTAAGAACAACAACAAAGTTCATGAACTATATTGAAAGTTCTTAGAAAGGAGAAGAGGATGATGACATTGCAGATCTAAATTATGTTTCAAATGATATAACTCTGGAAAATGAGCAGTGTATTGCTGAATATATCGACGAAACGAATACAGCTGACGCCAATAAAACTTTTAAGGAAGCTGTAAATTTTAGAGATATTGAAGAAGAATGTTTATAAGTTTCAATACTGGAACCAACACATGAAGCATTGATTTTAGCTCCAAGTACAGCAGCAGAGACAGTGAAAGCTTCAAAAAGAACAAGATCTCCATTACCAGTTATACAGTTTTCTGTGTCTCAAATTGTGTCATCTGTACGCGAGATTACTGGTTCAGGTACTGTCAAAAAATTATTAAGAAACTATGTAGATATCTTATTTTATTTTTCTTTTTTTCCAGGTTTAGATGCAATAAAGAAGAATTCAACTGAGGTTTTTAATGTACAATTGAAAAAAACATGAAATTTTATATAAATGAAAAAGCCTTTAAAGGCAATAACAATTTGCCTGACAATGTGACACATCTGTCATTACCAGATGCCAGATTACCAGTATTTCAATTATTATTTCAATGAAGAAGTTATTACTTTGATTTTTAAGAAACAAATCGAGCTGCTTCTATTGCCAACTTAAATTGCGTAGCAAATTTTAAGGAAATGTATCATTATATCGGCATTTGGTTAAACATCTATATTTGGCGGACGATCTATAAGTATCCAAACCTGGAAAGTTATTGGGAAAAAACGTATTTCAACCAATCCACTCCACTATAAAGCTACGGAAATTGGAAATCATCAAAAGATAATTATGTTTTAAAGATTATAGTCGACGTGCTAGAAAAGGTGAGTCTGAATATGACAAGCTTTTTGGTATCAGAACACTGGCTGATACAATAAATGAAAAATTTAATTTCATTCCGAAAACAGCTCTTTTGTGCGTAGATGAGCAAATGTGTAGTACCAAGATCAAGCATCATTTGAGACAATACTTTTCGAATAAACTACATAAATGGGAATAAAGCTCTTTGTATTATGCGATTCACATGGAAACGCTCACCAATTTGCAAAATATACTGGTGCACAATATCATTTTACCATGTAAACCAAATCTTAGTGCTACAGCTAATGAAGTTGTACGATTGTCTTAAACAGTATGTGGTACGGTATCGATGTGAATGGGGTACTATGGAAAGATAACAAAAACGTTAGCTTCAACGTTGGGATTGAACCATTTGCTAGAAACCATCCAGTAGAGTCTTAACCAGCTAAAATATTACCATATGATCATAAAGAAAAAAAACACTTTGAAGTAGAATGTCCACAAATAATACGAGAGTATAAACGTCACATGGGTGGCGTAGACTTGATGGATAGACTGATGTGTCGTTATCACATCAGACTCAAAACTAGGAATCCAATGATTCGGACATTTTATCATCTGATAGATATGGTCGCAACAAATGCATATACTCTATGTTGTTGAGTCCACGCTGATAAATCTCTTAATAGTAATGAATTAAGGGATACATTATACCAATTACCTAAATTTTTGCGAACCGAAAGCTAATGGTGTTATAGTTTATAAACAAAGATGTGCTGCTCATTGACCATCTTCAGTCCGGACATCCTGATACTAGTAGTGTTGGTCAGAAAGCTAAACATCCTGTCGCCGATGTCAGATACGACAACTACGATCATTTTTCAATATGACTAGGTAAATCAGAAGGAGGAAAGAAATGTATATATTGCACTCGGTAGCCCAATGTGTTTACTAAAAGTGCGACTTACATTTGTATTGCTGCAGCTCAAAAAAATGTTTCTATGGTTATTGTCATAGATAATGTACTTTGCTGGTATGTTTGAATGAACTATTTAGAGCGGCAGTCAACAGGGTCTGCATAGCCATGATGATTTTCAACCGTCGATAGAGGATGGAACTTAAAGAAGAAGAACGAAATATCTTTTGATTAATTAAACGTAAACGATTATGTCGTTCTTTGGGACGTCTAAATTTTTTTAACCGACGAATCAGTCAATAAAGAAATCTTTATGGGAACTTCATATTCGTCATTATAATAAAAGATTAACTAGAAGCAAATTATACATGAAAATAATATGTACTAATTAAAATTTTCTGGTTAGAGAGTTAAATATAGAATGACTTTGCAGATAAAAATGAGAGCGGCTATAACAAATCCTCTCATTCAACAATATTGATATAGTTGTAATCTAAGAGTCTTACTTGGATAAAGAAAACAAGCTGAAGACAAAGAAGAGAATATCAGGATAAGAAGCACTAGGAGCCACATTTTTAATAAATTCGTCAGAAATGTCAAGTGGTTATGTATACATTTTTCACATATGATATGGTATTGGCGCCGAAAATCTCTATCAGCGCGGAGAAAACTCCCTACAGTAAACTTCGATTCTGCAAGCCAATTCATTCGTCACTTTGCCCAGGAGTGGGAGTTGGTAGCATACACTGGTAAATCAATGGACTATGAAATTTATATTTAACTTGTTGACAATTTTTTTATATTACATCTCTGATTTGTTAAGAACTGTTGCTTGTTATATAAGTTTTAAAAATATGTTATTTATATTATCATGTGTAACGTAGGGTTAATAATATTTAAAAATGATTAAAATAACGATAATGTTCACAAATTTAGACTAGGATGTAAAAAGTTGTGCTAAAAAATGACCAGCAAAGTTTGGGAACCCCTGGTTTAGTTTAAAATTTTAAAAAGGCAAAATTAGAAAGTCTCAAATTTTTTTTAATATGGGAAATCGAAGAAAAATTGGAAATACAAGTATGCTTTTTTATTCGTCGCTATCTCTGTTGAAGAACAAAGCATGAACAAGTTGGCTCATTTTAAGCTTTTAAGTTGGTACTTTAAGATCATTATTTCCTTCGACAGTACTACTAATAGTGTTGATGTTTATTACATGGTTATTTTGTCCGTCACCTTCTTTTTGGTTGACCTTAATAGTATCATTTAAGGTGAACGCGTTTAAGTTCAGTTTCTTTAATTTTTCCTTCCTCAAAATAATTCTCAAGTAGTAACAGGGGAAGATGGCACATTCGCCTCCTGGTTCTTCGGCGTCTATGTATACTCCTCTCACCAGCAGTGAGTTTGAACACCGGAGCAGAATCAGTATGATAAGGCTTAACCAATGGGTTATCCAGCAGCTTAACTCTTGGTTATCTGGAAAGAAGTTTGAGTTTAATAAGAATAATTCTAGAAAAATCGTAGTTGATTTTAGAAAAAAAAATGTACAAATCCAGTTTTAAAAATAATTGGGTACTATTTTGATTATTGAAATAATTACAGTAACAAACAAATCAAGGAACAACATATGCAAATAAAACAATGTCTGACGAAGATAACCGACATAAAGTGAAAAATAAATTTTAAAGTTTAAGTAGCAGAAGAATTTTATGCAGGGCTGTAGTAAAGCAACATGAGTTGGATAAAAAACTAAAACTTTGAGAGATTAGTGTTGAGTCTTCTGTATAGCAAATTATTTTAAGTTTTTTTTCTCCCATTTGGTATCCTTTTTTTAGTTATTACTTTTTTATTACTTTATCGATAATCAGGTTAAAAAATAGATTACTCAGGGAATCCTTCTTTCATATCCTAATACCAGCTACAATTGAGTCAGTTAGTTCTTCTTATTTACTTTTATTGTGTTGTTCTGGTAAATATTTTTGATCGTTTCAATTATTCCTAGATCTGATCTATTCTAGATCCTCTCTTGCGTACAATAAGTGGATAAAATCATTTAATTCGATCCTGTTAAATGCCTCCTTAAAGTCCACGAAACGTAAATATGTCGGTTTTTGCATTCTAATGATTTTTCTTGTACTAGCTTCATTATAAATATAGTATCGGTATATGATATTTCCGATCTAAGCTTTTGTTGTTTATTTTTAGTGCCATAATTTTATTTATTTTATATGTTATCACCTTGTTTGTTAATTTTAAAATTGTATTTAATAAATTAATTCATCTGTAATCCTCTGGGTCCGATTTGTCTCCCTTTTTGAAAAGTGGTCTTAGAATTCTTGATTTGGGGTCTTATGGTATTTTGTTCTGTTCTAATATTTTTTTTATTTTATTTTTATTATTTCTATTATTTTTAATAGTTCTTAGGTCAGATTTGGTCCTCCGTACTTCAGGAGTTTGTCCTCTGATCATTCTTCATATTCCTTTTTTTGTTCCTTAGAAGTCGTGTTTAATCTGTTTGGGGAAGCTCTTCAGTGTTTCCTTTTTATTTATCTGACTAAAGTATTTGTTTCATTTTTGATTTATTTATAGTGGTGTATGCCTGTTATATTTGTTGGGTTCTGTATTACTTTTTTAAGATTTTTTATAATCTGTTTCACAATAAAACAATATGGAAAATTGTTTGTCTTTACAATGTCAGTCTCTACAATGCAAGATTCAGTGACCAAAGAATTAGAACACAAATATTGGCTTGTTTACCGGTGGGATACGCACATATATAGATACGCGAACACAATTACTAAAAGCAGCATAGATCACAATATCTGGGTGCTGTCGAAGACGTAACTTCCACTATTGTAGGCACTGTCAGGAAATGTTTGGTAGGTCCAAGTGATTAGATCGCTTCTATATCTTCGCTTGTTGTTTGTGGAGAAGATTGTATGCTCGGGTGTTAGGATTCACGCGCAACCTGTTTTGATATTGTTCAGAAATCCTTTTGTACTCTTCAGACACTCTTAGTACCTGCATATCTCTGTGCAAGGCGTCATTATGGATATACCAAGGGGCATTAGCGATTGTTCTTAAAATTTTAGATTACAATCCTAATATTTTTATAACTTTAGATTTGATAGCTGATCCCCAGAGCTGCGAACCATATGACCAAACGAGTTTTATTATTACTTTGTATATTAGCAGCTTCTTGTCTATCAATAGATGTGAGTTTTTTTCCAGCATCCAGTAAAATTTTCTGTATAAAATTCCTAGTTATAGTCTTTTCGTCCATATATGTTTGGTCAATGTTTATCGTTTGTCCCGATGAATGCCTTGATTTTTAAGTAATCTTTTTGGGTTAAAAATTGTCCATCGAGGTTAACTTGTGGACATATACATCTTTTTAGACTAAATGTAATATGTGTAGATTTTGGGGAAATTACTTTAATTCTTTGGAGTTTAAACCATTCATAAGTTTTGTTTAGATTTAATTTCAGTATCTTTGATGCTATTGCTGGAATAATATGAGATGTTAGAAAAACCGTATCATCTGCAAATGTTACAAGCGTAAGTTAATTGCAGCCGTATATATCAGGTACAAGATCGGTCCAAGTACTTATAGGCTTCACTATACCTTAGTAGATATCTTCTTTCTATAAGGTAAGATTTAAACAATTTGAAGTAAGTGTAAAGTAGATTTTTCTTAAACTTGTACAAAAGTCCTGCGTGATACACCGTGTCAAAAGCTCGAGAGACATCTAAAAAGACTGCAGTACAGTATTACTTGTTTTCAAGACTAGTTTTTATTGTTGTGTATAATATGTGAACTTGTTCTATTATAGTGTGTTGGTTACGAAATCTGAATTGATGGTCAGGTATAAGACCCTTTTTGTACAATATTGCTTTGATGATTTTTTTTAACAAAAGTTTTTCAAAAACCTTAGAAATGACTGGGAGTAGACTAACCGGTCGGTTATGTGTTGACACCTTTTGTGATCTTTACCAGCTTTTTTAATGAATATAATCTGTGCCACTTTCCATTGCAAAGGGAAGTAGAACAGACTTAAATTTGCGTTGCTTAGCAATAAAGATTATAGTAATTATTCTGTAGCAGTCATGGGTTACTTCTTAAAGAACCTTATCTGTAACGAGATCGTATCCCGGCGCCTTATTGAGTTTTATATCATTTTCTATTATCTGTTTTACTTCTTTAATGTTAAATTGGGAGATTGGTAGTTCCATTTGATATGGAGCATCAAGAAAAGTATGAAGTGGTTCTTCATGTTCTACAATCACTACCCTGGTAAATGGACTAAATACTTTCAAAAGATGTTTTGCAAATGTCTCGGACTTTTGTGTATCTGTAATTGCCCATTTACTTTTGGCTTTTTTTTTTAAAGGAGGTATGAAGTCTTGTGGCCCTTTTAATTTTCTCATCGCTTTCCATAAAGAATAGTTTGTGTCTTTAAACGGCGTCAGATTTTCTAGATAAGTTTAAATCCTCTTATTTTATTCTTCTTTAAGATTAAGTCTTTCGGCGATTCTGTTTAGGTTTGCTTTATCACTAGGTGCGTGTGGGTTTTGCTACTTTCTCCTTAGTTTTTTTTCACTTCAATCAAGTTTTTGCACTCAGAGAACAATTTATGCTATATTTCCATATTGTCTATTCAGGAGTGGCACCACATCCCTCTCTTTGTATGGAAGTAGTAAGATATTATACAGCGTTTTAATTTGTATTTCTGTTGTGAGTGGCAAGTTTACTGATATTTTGTTCTGTAAGTACACTTCGAAATATGTTCCAGTTTGTTTGGTTATTGGTTAGAACTGAAGGCTTGTTTCTAAGTATGTCTTGGGAGTCTAGGTCAATTAGAATGTGAGAATGGTCTGACAAAATATCCAAATATGATTCTATTATGCAGTAGTTAAGAGATATACCTTTAGTCACACAGAAATATAAGATATGTAGTGTTTTATTTGGACCTGTAGGCCAATAAGTTGGTTCTTCTGTAGATATAAATTGTAGGTTGTTTCCTATTATTGATTTTAAGAGTTCTCTATCCCTTGTTGTAATTACCCTAGAGCCACAGTGGTGATGTTTGCAGTTAAAGTCTCCTCCTGCTATGAATGTGTGTCCAAGAGAACTAAAGAAGGTGTTAAAGTTGTTTTCGTTAATGGATTAGCCAGGACGACAGTAGACTGCAGATAAGGTAAGGTTGCCTAACCAATCTTTAATGACAATGATAGTTTTTTTGGCATAGGCATTTGCCATTCAGCCAATCACAACTTTTTTCAGTTCTTCCCAAAGAAAAGAAAAGAAAATAGTTATCACAATATATTTATTATTGGGTATTTGGTTATCCATGAAACAAACATGGTTACTCGCTTCGCGTCTAGACCCATCAAGACATTAAATTAAAATACAAACTAGACCGGGTCACGGATAGTAGGTTTAAAACAAATGGGATAAAACAAAGGTCACTATTTTTTTAACTGGACTTACCAATTGAGGTTACTTTTTGAAATAAATTCTATTAAGTAGTTATATACAATTTTGTTATTTAATGACAAAAGGTAACAAATGTTATAGGGTGGAAGGAGTTTGTGTTTGATTAAATTTTTTATTAACTCGTCAGTTTGTTGTGTATATTTTGTACATTCAAAGAAAATGTGGTTTAAATCTGATTTTTTTTTGACAAACTTCGCATAAATTGGAATTTACAATTTTAAGTTTTGCTAGATGAGCCGGATAACATGCATGCCCTGATTTCATTTTGATAATAGATGTAATGTATCTACGTGGAACAGAGTCATTTTTAAACCAAAATTCACTCGGGATTTAGGGTTTTATGAGTGCATATTGTGATTTGAAGTATTGACTATATTCATAATATTCTTGTTTCCACTGATTGTTTACAATATTCTTGATTGTTACAAATACATCTGGTATATAGGGCTTATAATCTGTTCTTGCACCAGAATCAATGGCTTTCTTAGCTAATATATCTACATACTCATTAGGTTCAAGCCCTTTGTGAGCTTTGACAATGATAGTTGATTGTAGGTACTTTTCTATTTAAACTTATTTAACTCATGATGTTTTATATTTAATTTGATAATGATAGCTGTGCCACCGTGTGCTTTGTCATTTGAATGTTTTGTGTAGTGAGCAATGAATTTTGGAATTTTAATATAATTTTTGTCTGTTCGATAAGCTTCTGATATTAGCATAACATCAATTTTCTACTGTTCGGAAAAAATTTGATTATTTGGATATGCCACGTTAGGCTATTTGAGTACCAGACGGCTATTTTAAGTCTGTGTTGCATTTGTACATTTTGAAAATCATAGTAGTAAGAAGATTAAACATAGTGTATATTCTCTGCATTAGTTTTGCCATCAGGTTTTCAAGGTTGGCAATTGTAGTTAAATTCTTTGAACCGGTGTTCTGTATTGTCAATAGGCTTTCTTCATTTCTTCACATTTTGTTCTCATTTTTTTCTCTAAACCATAAGGTTGTCTTTTTTAATGAGTTAGTGTTTGTTACTTCTGCTACTGTTGCTGCCTTAAATATGTTATTTTTGAGTTTTTTACCACATTTCATAGATGCTATATCATTCTCTAATATTTAAAACATAAATGTCTATAACATTTCCTAATATCCTTTGTGTTCTAATTCTGTATTATTACTACGTGGATTCAGTTTTAAATCCTCTGATTCTTGTTTGTGTTGCTGCCGCTGTCTTGGGTGTAAAGCATTTTATGATGATTCTTATTTAAAACAATACTAGGCTTTGATCACTACCTATATCTGCTGAGTTAAGGCATGTTACATCGATTATTTTTGATGAACAGAAAGAAACAATAAAAACTAATATTTAAGTCCTAAAGTTCAAGAAACAATTGAAGTTCTATCTCGTTATGTGAAAAGATTTGTCAAGATACCCAAAACTTTACAGTTTACACAGAGCACATACGACTGGGTTACCATTACGACTAATTACTCTCTATCCAAGGACAACTTTAACCACTAGCGAAATTTCTGGTTCACCAGCTGCAACCATATTATGCAGACGAAGTGGACTATTACGTTAAGAACGCAATGCACTTTACCAAGCATATAAGGGACATGAATCTTGAGCCTGGATATTTATTAATTAGCTTAGATGTGGTCTACTATTCACAAAAGCTCCGAAAGATAAATCGTTAGAAATTATGAGCAGAAAATATCTAATATAATTCTCTCTCTCTCTCTCTCTCTTTATCTTTCTCTCTATAATACTCAATTTAACAGGATACACTAAATCTATTGAAGCAGTGTTTGAAAGTAGTTTATACACAAAGAACAAAGATATATACACGTTAAAGGTACACCGATAGCTTCATTACTCTCACCGCTAATAGCAAACTTTTTTATGAAGCATATAAAAAACTAGCCATAAGAATAGCAGAGCATAAACCCAAACTAGAGCTTATAGAAAACTTGTATTATCTGGATGCATAAATAAGAAAAATCAAATTAATTTAACATATCAATAGTATCGATCCTAAAATCCTGTTTACTACAGAACGGGAGAAGAACCAACAACAGTTAGGAACACGAAAACATAATGATATACGTTACACCAGCAACATGAAGGCAAATATTTACTTGCTGATTTACACTACCATCCTGCAAATTTGCACTCGGTTATCAAAACCCTAATCACTAGATTTCTTGGTGAATCTGTAGAATCTATGTAGTACTTAGCATCATCTTCCCTTCAAAATTTTACCTTACGTACGTGGAGGTTTTTTCATTCCTAATAGTAAAGAAGTAGCTCTGAAAAATTATTAGCATCTTAAAAAGTAACTATGAATGACATATATATGAATATATTATTAATAAATATGGGAAAGTTACTAAACAAATAGTTATAAAATTTTAAAAAGTAAAATAGTATCATAGTTCAGAAAAAAAACTGATATAAAGAAAATTAGATTTAGCTAGGAAAAACTGGATACCATGCAAAATTATTTCTGTATATCCATAATATATTCTTAACAGTCAATATATGACAAAGAATTGTTGCAAATAGTTTTCAGCTAATATTATATTAGTAATTTGTTACCTGGTAGAAAATATACATTAAGCAAGTTCCAGATTCCTCTCCACACGTTGACGGTACCAAAGAGAGCGAACAAAGTATACAAATCTGCAAGTAACAATCTGGCAGCACCAGTCAGTCTTTCACATAAATACCTCATCGCAGGCTGAAGAAGGAACGCCAAGGCAACACATAAATATCCTATAACCTAGAAATAAATAATTTTGGCTTGAATTTTTATAAAAACTAGTTTAACAATATAAAAACCAGTACTCAATGGTAACCTGAAGAATATTAAAGTTTAGGTCAGATAGATCAACTATTGTATAAGATGCCACTGTATGATCACTACGTTCATAACGTAGTTCATCAAATTCACATTTTTACATACATTTAAAATTAGAGAATATATTGATAATAGATTGCCATTCAAAATATGGCAGCAAATATTTTTAATTCAATTAATAGTATTTAATTATAAACAGTGGTCGAAAATTGTGGTTGCTAGTTGTTAAAAACGTGAAGTAATAAAGATAGAGTAAAATAGAGTTAGAGCACAACGGCACTGGTTTGACAAGTGATAATATGTATATTATTATATATCCATCGACGCATACTTTAAAGACTCACACATCTGACACTTCAAACCAGTCGCATTGTGCGCTAGCTGTATTTTATTTTATCTTTGATTCCTCACGTTTCTAACATCTGGCAACTCTAAGTTTCGACCATTTTTTCTCAACCAAACCTGAAAAAAAAGTGGACCGTGATAATGGTATTAAATAATTATATAGAGGTATTATCCGACAAGCGAGAGCTGGCGGGTGAGCTGCGCGAAAATAGAAAAGGAATTATTTTAAGGGAGATAGAAGAGGTACTTAACCGCTGGTGTCACAAACGCGTAGTTGCCGTATCAAAAATTTAGTTGGGATCTAAAAATTACGTAAGTAGATACACGTTTTATACTTACCATATTATTATGTTAGACAATTAATGCAAAAGGTTTGACCAATTATTGAATTAAATTTAAATATATATTTATACATATATATTAACTATATCATTATTCTTCAGTAAATATAAAAATTTCACTTATAATATCAGTTTTATTATCAATAATAGTGAACTGTAAATTACTAATTAACTGATTCATTGTTTACTTATTATTTACTGGTAATCTAATGCACTGTATTTTTTTATTTATTTTTTGATTCTAACTTAACTTTACTTAAATTAAATTATATAAATATGAATTTATTTTAAAAATAAGTATTATAATTACCAGTTAATTGATCTACACTTTTTTTAAATCAAGTAAAACTTTATCTGCAGTAGTTTTTTCGGTTGTCAACTTAAAAACATTGAAAATTATATCTCGTGCTTAAGATCCCAATAACGGTTTGCCCGTTAATACACTTGCCATTTTATTAAATATAAATAATAGTTTATGATATAGGGCCACTCCAAATAAATGTAAATGCTTGACAACACTGTCAGAAATCGAGCACTAATCCTACGATGTGAACTCCTCGCCGATAGCAAGGGAAATGAGCAATCCCTTCCACTTTTCAGTTTGTTCTACGCGCAATCTGCCAGCTATCGCTTGTCGCATTTATACAGTAGCCATAATAAAAGCACGCACTAGAATATCACACGACTTCATTACAATAAAAGACCTAAGACAAGGTTACTGTGCTGGGGGGAAATTTACAAGGGAAATTTACAAGGGGACAAGGTTACAATTTGGCGGGGATATTAGAAAAATACACCCAGTACCGTTTTTTAAAAATTTGAAAACCAAATTGCAACATGTTGGATATTTTGACGATTGCAAAGAAACCATTAGAAACCATCATAAAGAAGAAGCAGCGTTATGGTATGAAAGCAAAGAAGATGAGTTTGAAAATTGGACAGATTTCGAAAATAAATTTCTGGGGTAAAATAAACAGACGAAAATTAACCAAGAGCTACAGAATTGAAAATATCAAGAGAAAATGGAAATATCTAAAGAAAGATATGCTTTGCAGATATATAACAATTCAAAATATCTAGATTACAAATACTTTACCGAAGAACTGGTAGAAATGATAAGCAGACATTTCGAAGAAACGTTGGAGGATCACGTGATTTTGAGGAACTATCAAGATATTGATAGTTTGTGCCAATTCCTTCAATTTAAACAAGAGAAAAAAAAAAAGAGAAATGAGAAACAGAAGACAACATGACCAATATAATGGACCAGAAAGAAGGTACCAATCAAATTATGACCAGAGAAAACGACATCCCTGATCAACAAATGAATATAGGCCAAGAGAATACCACAATTACACTAGACAACAAAATTATGATAACAGAAATGACACACAAAATAGAACATATGAAAATCACAACAGGAACAGAGCTGCATAAAATCCTCCGAATAGGAATACGAACGAACAAAGGGAGGGTAGAAATAATCAAAGCTTCCAACTACAAAATAGAAGGGAGATGAATTATGTAGCAATAGAAAATGAGGAAGAAGATGCATGCAATGAATCCAGACAGGATTTTCAATAAAGCATCCACTAAACAAAAGTAAAAAGCTCTCCGGAATATTTTGTCACTGAGAGAGTTTATACAGTTGGCGGAAAACGAAAGACAAAATTCTAATTCCAATCTAATATTTTTAGATGAATTTATTAAACACAAAGCGTTTAGTGTAGTCCAAAAAATTCAACATATCTGTCATCAAAACCACTGCAGGGGAACATCAATAACCATTCTTTGGACCCCATCTCATGTGGGCATACGTGGAAATGAGTCTGCAGACATCGCAGCAAGAAAAGCAAGTTGCTCTGACCTAAGCCTAGAAAAAATTCAACTTCATCAAGATGTAGCAGCAACCATAAAAGAAAATACTTGCAAAACATAGCAAAATCATTGGAATGGACAAAACTCAAAACTTCTTATAATCAATTCTACTGTTTACTCATTCAAGATGCCTACAATGACTAGGAGGGACAAACTTATATTTCGAAGACTTCGAATAGGACACACACGCATCACTCACGGATACCTGATGACTTCCGAAAATCCACCTGCTTGTGAAAATTGTGATTATCAGCGCCTTAGAGTAGAACACTTACTCGTCGAGTGCAGTTATTATAGGTTATTATAGACTATATAGATTAGCTCATAATATAAACGGTAACCTGAAACAGATTCTTAGTTCGCCAAATATGTATAGTGCTCTAATTGACTTTTTAAAAGATTGTAGATTATATTATCATATATAACAATATTGTAACATTGTTCGCTCAAAAAAAGTAATAACTTACTATATTTATCTTATGTAATGTAATCATCTTATATGTATAATGTAATATTTCAGATGTTTTTGTACCTCTGTCAATGGCCATAGATGTCGAGACACGTTAATTTCAATAAAAAAAAAATTAAATTTGAACAGATTTGTGTATAAGATTCCTAGGGTTGCTTTAGTGGGTGCAAACAATAAAAAATTGACGACAGTCAACGAAGGTTTGGAAGTACGGATCAGAGTGGGAGACCAATTCTACATTATGCAATGTGTGGTGATCGAAGATTTAAATCATGATATGATAGCGGAAATTGATGAATTGAGTGAAAAACATATCACCAATAATTTTTCGGAAAATAAACTGGAAATCAGAGTAGAACTAGACAACACAGAAGAAGAAAAGGAAGCAGATAAGAAAAAAATTTTGAAAGGATAAATGAACATGAAAAACATAAAGAAATCAATATGACTGTAAAGGATAAACCGAAAGTACAAGAAAAAAATCAATCAGAAGAGAAAAAGAGAAGGAAGAAAAAGAAGACGAGTTCTAAAAGAAAGCAGGAAAACAAGGTGAAGACAAGAGAAAATCAGAAAATAGAAGGTAGGTACAGAAGAATTGTTGGCAACCGACGATAAAACAGAAAGAAGCAGGAAGAAAAGGAAGTTATCATAAGAGAAATGAAAGGAGTAGAAACGTGGTGTTCGGAATACCAAATGGAAATTGAAGATAGAGAAAAACCAGAAGAAATAAAGGATAAGGACAGAGAAGAAATGGCAATTATGGACGAGAATCCAGAATTTTGTGAAGACAGGGAACACATGTGGACAAAATGAGGACGAAAGAAAAATAAAATGTAGAGAAAACATGGAAAAGAAAATAGAGAAGATTTTAGAAAATTATGGAGATCCTATTAATGAAGAAAGCCGAGTGGCTAAAAATTATGAACATTCTTTTAAAGTTAAAAACTTTTAACTTTAAAAGAACTTTAAGAAAATTTTAAATCGAACACATATCCAATCCCGTATAAAGACAGGCAATATACGGGAATTTTTAACATTCACGACACCTATCAGTATCATGAGTCGATTTTAATAACATAGAAATAATTTGATCCTGGAAAAAATTGTGTCAATTTAAAAATTAACAAAGAGTTTTTTGGTAAATCAAATGGCGGGGAGTATTTATGATATGTGAAATTGAAAATAATATTGGTTTGCTTTTAATATATTTCAAAGTACAAAATATAATAATTCAAATAATTCAACTAATAAACTATAAAAGATATTTCGAAGAAATGAAAGTCCATTATCCTGGATTACCTGTAGTAAACAAAATTTAAAGATATTCATAAATTATTTTCTTTGTAAAATATATTCGATTGACGTGAGTAAACGTAGTGAAATCGAGAACAATGCGAACGAGTTTTTCAAATAGACTTATAAGTCGATACAGTGAAGAAGACAATAGAATAGAAATATTTAGAAAATATAATTCCCTGTTAGTTCTTAAAAATTTGTAGAAACCGATTATCATGTTAATAGTTTTTAGGAAATTTATAATTTTAGGTAAAATTGTTATTTGTTATCTAAAGGGTAGATGGGGATGGATGTGACGAACTTTGATTGGGAGAGATGGAAAGAAGTGGGATAGGTATGAGGAATGAGAGTTTAGCTACATTTTTGAAGGAAAAAAGATAATGAGTTGTTTTCCAAAGGTTTGAAGGCGAACAGCCGTTGTTCTCTGGTGGTTCCCCAGTGGTAGTAAGCAGTAGAAGTGAATGTTTGTGAGTTTTCGTGGAGTAAGTGTATCTGACGGAAGCTGATCCAGTAAAACATTGTAAGTTATACTTTACTTATATTCCAAGAGTCACTGTTCAGGCCAGAACGAGAGATTCAGTTTATCGAGAGGA